ATTTATTATTAAGTTTATTAAATATCGGTTCCTCCAAACTTTCCAAAATAAAAATTCATGATTACTATTATTGCAATTATTATTATCGTTGAAGTTGTAACTATTATTATTAGTATCTATAATCATTGAATTTATGGATATTGACGTTGATGTAGTAGTAGTAGTAATGGATGATTTACTACCAACCAAACTATTTATTTTATTCTTTATGTTCATTTGGCTGTTACTTCTTCTTTTTATTTAATTTTAAATATAAAAATAATGTTAATAAATAATAGAAAAAAAAATATGAAGAGTATTTTAAAAATAAATAATAAAAAAAATAAAAAAAAAGGGTTTAAAATATGTTTTTATTCTAATAATTTTAATTTATTATTTTATATATTAAAGAAAAATAAACAATATGAGAAAATAGGAAATAATAATATATGTAATATTAAAAAAAAAAATATATAAAAAGAATATGTACGCTGCAAAAATAATTTTATTTACTATTTTATATATATAAAAAATTTTAATTTACAAAAAAAGGAATTGCTGCTATATAGTATGAATTAATGACGATTAATAAAAATGTTATTTAATAATATTATTATTGTGAAAATATTTTTATTATAAATTATAAGAGTGAAAAATAATAAAAAACAAAAATTAAATAAATAATAAAAAAAAATAAATAAAAAAAAAAAGAATAAAAAGAGATTAGATAATATTTTATTTTATTTTATTTTATAATTATTAATAAAATTAATTTATGTTTTTATATATATTTATATATATATATATATAAATATATAAATATATAACATTAATATTGAAATTATTTTTTTTGTTTTTTTTTTTTAAAAAGAGATAGTTTTTAGACATATTGTATTTTTAAATAAATAATATTTGATAAAATATAAAATTAAAAGTATTACCAATTTATTGGTGGTTTCAATAAGACACACAACCCTATTGCCCCTTTATAAAAAAATTTTATTAAATATAATGTAATGTTATTTATTATTATTTTTTTTTTTGTTTTATGATTCTTTTAAAAAATATTTTATTATTTAAATTATAATTTAAATTATTATTATTATTTTATTAAAATTTGAGATATTTTAATTTTTTTAAAATTTATTTTTTTTTTATTAATTTAAACCACACCCATATAAACACAAAAAAAACAAAGCATCAAAACATCAAAACAAACTTACTTTTTTTTTTTTTTTTTTTCTAAAACTATGCACAATTTAAATTTAAATCATCATTTTATTTCAAATTAAAAAAATTAAAAATTAAAAAATAAAATATTCAAAAAAATCAAAAAAAATCAATAAATGAAACATTTTAAATAATAATACACATATAAACATATATATTTCAAATATTTATATTATATAAATGAAAAAAAATAAAAAAAAGTTGGAAAGGTGGGTGCTATAAATTTTTATTTTTTTTATTTTTTTTTCAATTTATTTTTTTATTTTTTTTTTTTATTTTTTTAATTTATTTTTAAAAAAAACATTATATGAAAGCAAATTAAAAATCTCGATTGTGTACCATCACATAATAAATAATAGAAATAATAAAACCAATAACTATAAAATAATATAATAATAAAACAATAATAATAAAAAAAATAAAAATAATTCTTTTAAAAAATATTTTTCTTTTCAGAAAAAATTAAAAAAAAATAGTTTTTTAAAAAAAAATAAAGTAAAAAAGTGGAGGGGAAATGATGAATAACAACAACAATATTGGTCAAAAAGAGTTATTTGATTGAGCATGAGAAAATGCTTATCAATAATTTAGATAAAAAACCAAATAGCACTGGTGTAGGTCTTAAAACTCCCAACCCCTCCACTATTCACAACAACAACAATAATAACTTTTCAACACACAACAATAATATATTAAAAAAAAATCAACAATCTTTTATTAAAAACTATTCACCTTCAACAAGCCCAACTAATCAAAGAAATACACAAAACCATACAAATAAATTAAAGAGTAACCCGATGTCCTACGATGATTACGAATTTGAAGATGATCCAATCGAATTGGAGCTTAGAAAGAAAATGTTAACAATGTTAAATCAAAACTCAATACCAAATAGTAGTAGTAGTAATAATAATAATAATAGTAATAATAATATTAGCAATTTAAATAATTTTAATTTAGAAGAATCAGAAGAGGATAACATTGATAGTGATGGAAATAACAGTAGTAACCACAGTGACCATAATTTAAATAATGAATACTATAATAACTTTAGCAATGATCATATGTTTAGCACACCCACATTATCAAGAAAATCAAAAAATAAACAACATAACAGATCAATTTCAGTAAACCAACCACAATCATCATCATACCAACATCAGTCATCATATCTACAACCACAATCACAGTTATCAAATTCATTAAACCAAAAATCATTTTTAACATCTAGCAACCCAGGATTTTTACCCACATTAGGCAGCCCAAAATTCGAATCTCTTGGCAATAGTACTAAAGGAACAAATCTTACAACAACAATTGGCAATAATAATAATAATAATAATAATAATAATATGATGTTTAATAATAATGGAAGTAATATTAGTAATTCAAGCTCTCAAGGTGAAGAATACTTTAATTTAAATGAAAAATACCTATTAACTGAAAGAGATAGAATTAAATCAATGGCAAAAGAATTTAAATTTGAAATTGAAATTGAAAGAAAGGTTATTAAGGAATATAAACTCTATGCCGTAGAAGAATGGATATTTAAATCAAACCACATTTGGTCTGCTGTGTCATATACTGGAAATTACGATGATAAGATTGTTGTATCAGTTATCAAGCCAACACAACAAAATAAACAACTATACAATTTAATTTCAAAACCTCCAAACAGTACCTTTTATCCAATCAATACACCATCGGGTCAAATATTACTTGCCAACTGTGGGGATTCTTCTCAGTACGGACTAAACCTTATCGAAATACCAGATGGAGATTTCGATGAACACATAGAAGATATTAAAACCAATTTATGCCTAAAGAGACTAGGTTGTACAAATCCCAAATACAAAGTATCCTATATGAAACTTGCAGACTCTTGTGTTGATAAGTTTAGAAAGCTATCCGGTTTCCCAAAAGCGACAAAGAGCTATGTTAATGAATTTGTAATGGAAATACAAGCCGCCTTGTCACATTTAAACTATTTGCCTTTGCTTACTAAAATTGATGGAATGTATGATCAGAAAACCATTAATGCGCTAAAAGCTTTTCAAGTTGACTCAAATAAACATAGAGAGGGTAGCGGTTTATTATTATTACCAACAGAAGGTTACTTGGATCAAATTACATTTGATGAATTACAAGAAGAAATCTTAAAACTAGCTTCAAAATTAGAATCACTAGGCTATACCCTACCAGACAATCCAACCAAAAACTTTAAAGAATTCAATGTAATAATTAAATCATTTCAAGAAACCTATAGAATTTATCCCAATGCACCTGGTAAAAACATTTTATTATTTATAGAAAAAATGAATTTAAAAGTATCACAAACCATTTTACCACCACCCTCATCAAATAATATACAATCAACATTTTCAACATCACCATCATCAAATAGTACAAATATAAATAAAAAAAATAAACAAAATAATAATAAAAGCAATAATTCCAATAATAGTAATAGCAACAGCAATAGTAATAGTAATAATAACCTACCAGGCAATAGTAATTATAATAACTATTTAAACTACGACGATGAAATTGAAAGTTTTAAAAGAGGTCAGGAAAAAACAGATGCCGAAATTTTTAGATATGATGATGACGATGATGAAGATGAAGATGACGACTATTATGAAGATAGTGATAGCCAAGATATTATAGATCCATATGTTGATGATGACGATGATGAATATTTCTCAAATGAAGACGAAGATTTTAAAGCCACCAATAACAACAATAAAAGCGATAACACCAATATCAAATCTAAAACCGATATCCCTATATCAAACAATGTAAATAACACATCATCAGTAGCAACCACAACAAATAATGAAAAACAATTTCAAGAAATTCAAAAGCAAACTTTATTACCAAACAACACCAATGTATTATCACAAACTCAAAATGAAATTAACAATTTAGAACCAATCAACGAAGCTGAAGAAAAAGAAAAACTAAAGCAAACAATACTAAGGCTTGAAGTATTAGTAGATAAACAGCATTCTCAATATTGCAAACTAAAAGAAGACTTTGACCATTTAAGTGATAGCTATTATGAACTTAAAGAAAAATCTTTAAAATCAATTGCAGTAATCTCCACAAACGAAAAAATGTTTACAGATATCAATAACCGTTGGAATAAATTAACTAAAAAAGAAATACCCGAAATTGAAGATAAAATTAACTCCAATGTTGATATTATTCAATCTTATTCGAGCAAAGTAAGTAAAAAAAAAAAAACTTTGTTTAACTTTTATTTATTATAAATATTAACTAATAAATTTTATTTTTATAGATGAAAAGGTTAGATGATATCGTAACCTCAATTCAAAAAAAGAATGATAGAAATATTTTCCTTTCATTTTTAATTAGCTTTGGATCATTCTTTCTTATTATTTGTGGATATATAGCCATAGGTTTAGCAAAGATTAAAAAGAGTATTGTGCAACCAATCAATAATAATGCAAATAATACCAATGGAAATAATAATAGTAATGGAAATAATAATAATAATAATAATGAAATAACAAGTAATTCAAACAAAAATAGGCAAACAGACGAAGCAATCCAAGATTTTTTAAAACAAAAATTAAATATCACCACTTTTTTTGAAAACAATTAATTATAAATATAAATAAATATATAATTTTGTAAAGAATAAATAAACATTAACAAATCTTTTTTTTTTTTTTTTTTTAATTTTTTTTTTTTAATTTTTTTTTTATTATTTTTTTATTTTAGATATATTTTATTATTTTTTATAAACCTATATTTTTTTAGTTCTTTTTAATAGAGTTTTCATAAGTTTTTTTGTAGTTTGAAACGATTGAGTATGGTAAACCAACAGCAGCAACGCATAATAAAACGAAAACAATAATTTCTTTGACTAAAAGAGAAGTTCTCTTTTCATAATCAGCTTGGCTTTCAACATACATACCACTGTAGCTGGCAGCTGATGAAACAGTGAATTCACTATCGTGTTGTGATTTACGGTAATTTAAAACAGTTGAGGTTAAACTGTAAATACCTGATTTCTTTGGTTCAACAGTTAAATTGGTTTGAACTTGTGAACCTCTATATTTATTTTTAAATTATTATTGAAATATATAATTTGATTTTTTTTTTTTTTTTTTTTTTTTTAAATTATAAAATTAAAGTTAATATTGTGTTATCGTTTTGGAACTACTAAAATTCTAAAAAAACTTACGGAGCAAGGGTTTCCCATTTACCTTCGGTTTGACCTGAAATAATATCGAAATCAGCAGAGATAAAGTCATTATCAATGAATGAAACATCGTAGGCTGGACTGTAATATGAGAGAAGAAAAAAGTTTAAATTAGCAAAAATGTTATAATTTTTTTGTTGAATAGTCTATACTACATACTCTGAACCAACGTTATAGATAATGAATTGAATTGGTAAGTGTTTACCTACAACTGGACCTTCTACGATCTTTTTTTGGAATAATAATTCAGCTTTTTGTGAGTAAACAAAGCTTACAAATAAAATTAAAAATACTGAAACTAAAGTTTTGGTGTTCTGTAATTCAGATGATAGTTAAATTATATATTTGATTTATAATTTGAATTATATTTTTGAATGATGTTTTTAATTTGAATTTAAAAATTTTAGAGGTAGTTTTTTAATTTGGTTTGTTGAACATTCAATTTTTATAAAGATAAATTTTAAGATTTGGTATAAATATAAAAAAATTAGTTAGGTCATATGATAATTATTTTTTTCGTTTAGAGTAAAAAAAAAATAAAAACATACCATTTTTAATGCGTAGTTTATAAAAAAAAACTTATATATAGGGATGTGATTGATTATAAAAATAAAAAATGATGATGAAAAAAATTAAAAAAAAAATTATAAAAAAAAATTAAAAAAAAAAATTAAAAAAAAAAATGTGTGTTTTTTTAATTTTTTTTTTTTATATGTTTCATCATAAAGTCAAAGTCAAAAAAAAAAAAAAAAAAAATGATTAATCATTTTAATTTTTCATTTTATTTTTTATTTTTTCTTTAAAATCTATTTAATATATTTTTTTTTAGAAAAATATATATAAGAATAATGTATATAATTTTAACAAAAAACTAAAACACTTTAAAAAAAAAAAATAAAGAAATAAACAATATTAACTCTTTTGATAAAAAAAATGGAGTGTGAACTGGATCTAGCATAATAGCTTGGTTTTAATTGTTTAGCTTTTGAAAATCCAGGATGTAATGAATAAACCATTTGAATTTAGAGATATTGATAATACATCATGGTTTGTGTATCTGTATTAATGGTTTGTGATGGTTCTATTTCATAGATTTGAAGGTCACTTGATAAACATTCTAAAACCATTAAGCTTGATTTGAATCAAATGTTTATAAATACAATAAATCTTGATTAACTATTAATATAAAATTATTTTTTTAAATTTCCAAAAAAATAATTAAATTAAAAAAATTCTATAATTATTTAAAAAAAAAATTCTATAATTATTTAAAAAAGGAAAATTTCTATATAGAAAAACAATTAACAAAACCACTCATCTCACAACAAAATTCCAAAAAATAAGCTTGTGTCTATATGGCTGAGCTTTTAAAAGTATACCTCAGATATATTTTAATGGTCAAACTTGCAAACGGTGGTACTTTCTCTCATGGTGAAGATTTCGATGGTGATTCGGTAAATTATCATGATGATATGTGGACAGCTTTCAACCAAAGCTACACGAAGGATACTCACACCATGGAGATATCAATGGATCTTTTTGGTGTAGATTTGAAAGTCGCAAAAATATTCTCAGAATTCAGTTTAACACACTCAACCACAAATACAATGGAGTCAATCAATAATACTATCAATAAATTAACGGAAAGAGAAATTGAATTAGCAGAAACGGATCTTTGGGGTGAACACTCTATATACACAAAAAAACAAAAAGAAGAATTAAGACAAAGCTACATTAATTTAAAACTTTCAATAATCGATGTAGCAAATATAGACCACCACCAACCCAATTACCACCAGTACCATCAAGAATAACAATAGAAATTAATAAATTCAAAATAAAAGCAATTTAATTTATTCTGTGTATCTTTTTGTTCAAAATTTCAATTAATTCGTGGAAAGATTCGAAAGATTTAAGGATGTTATTTTTTATGAGTTTTAGATTTTTTTTTTTTTTTTGTAAATATTGAAAAATTGTGCTATCAGATTTTTTTTAAAAAAAAAAAATTAGATAAATTAAAAAAATTCGTGAAAAAAAAAGGATTTTATTTAAAATTTAAAAATAAGGAACCATCATTCTATTGATTGGGTTGGAGAAATTTAATTTTTTTCATCATCGTCGTCAATGCTTTTGTTATCTTGGTCACTATCTTGGTTGTTATCATGATTGTTATCCTCTTCGAAATCTTCATTGATATCAATTTCGTTTTCATCTATAGAGTTGTAATTGATGTTTTCGTTGTAGTTATTTCCATTACTATTTGAAATTGATGTAGAAATTGATGAGCTATTTCCATTTTCATTATAATTTATATTTACAGATACACCTTTGTCATGAGGAACTATGTATGCTTCGGGTAATGGCTGTGAACTATTTTTCCATGGATCTTCTAAAAATGATGATTTGAAATAATATGATCTTTGTTGATGTTGATGTTGTTTATGGGGTTGAATTTGTTTATTATTATTATTATTGTTATTAAAATTTCTTCTATTATTAAAAGTATTTCTATTATAGTTTCTATTAAAATTAATGTTGTAGTTATTGTTGTTATTATTATTATTATTATTATTATTATTATTATTTCCACCATTAAAATTTCTATTACTATTAAAATTTCTATTGTAATTGTTGTTGTTGTTAAAATTTCTATTGTTGTTATTAAAATTTCTATTGCTCATATTCATACCATTGAAATTCATATTCATACCATTCATGTTCATGTTCATTCCCATATTGTTCATATTCATATTCATATTCATATTCATATTCATTCCCATATTGTTGTTGATATTATTGTTCATATTAATATTGGTGTTAACATTTCTAAAGCTATTCCCATTTTCTGAGGAAGAGGAGCTATAACTATAGCTTCTTCCGTTACTATTTACATTATAATTATAATTGAAATTATTGTTATTGTTGTTGTTATTGTTATTATTGTTATTGTTATTATTGTTGTTGTTGTTGTTATTATTTCTAATTTGTCTGTTATATGGATGGTGTTGCATTATATTTTTCTGGTTATCATCAATATTATTCGAACTATAATTATTATTTATATTTATATTATTCATTATTTTCTTTTTTTTATTTTATTAGTTTATTAAAAAAAAAACAATAAAAAGGAAAATAAAAATTATTTCAAAAAAAAAATTAAATAAAAAAAAAAAAAAAATATTTTTTAATTTAGTTTTTATTTTTATATTTTTTTAATTTATTTTTTAATTTATATTTATTTTTTTATTTTATATTTATATTTTTTTATATTTTTTTATATTTTTCTCAAATTTTTTTATTTAAATAAAAAAAAATATTCATTTATTTAAAAATTAAATAACAAATAAAATATTTATTTATTTATTTTTTTATTCTGTGATTTTTTCGATTGTGTTTATTTATTTTTTTTTTCAAAATTTAACACAGCATATATATTTTAAATTATGGAGGAAGAGAAAAAGTCCTACATATTAACACGAGGAACAAGTTGATCAAATAAAGAAACTCGTGCAATTGTGATTGCGTGTGCTAAAATTACAACACCAACCCAATTACCACCAGTACCATCAATGACCAATAAAAACAATAATAATAAATTCAAATTATACATTTTAACTTTAAAACCATGAAAGAAAGAGATAGATTTATTCAGTCATTACAGAAATATCAATTTATTTTATTCATTTGTATCTTTTTCTTCAAATTTTTTAATCAAACCTTACAACCAGAATTTTTTTTAATATTAGTTTATTAAAAAAGAAATAAAAAAATAAAAAAATAAAAAAAATTATTCACAACATTCCATAATTTTAGTATAAAAATAATTTTTAAATAAACAATTAAATAGTTAATAATAAATAAATTCAATTAAAATAAATTATTAGAAAAAAAATATCACTTCTGGTTTTACAAAATGGCTAAAAAGAAAATTCCCAAATAGAAATAATTATTTATTTAATTTTTAACTTTTTTGAAATTATAATTATTTTTTATATTTATTTGTTGTGGTCAAAAGTTGGTTTGATTGAACATCTTTATAAAATTAAATAAATTCAGTTAATATTGTTTTTTCAACTAAAAACTGTTTTCTGTAATTTACATTTTCTAAAAATAAAAAGTGTGTCAAAAAAAAAAAAATAAAAAGTCAACTTATATTAATTAATATTTACGCACGTAAGAATTTTTCTAAAATGAGTACGTAATATAATATTTATAATAATTTTTTTAAAAAAATTAATTTAGAAAAAAATAATTATTATTAATAAAATGTAAAAAAAAATATTTTAAATTTTAAATTAAAAAAATTAAAATTTAAAAAATAATTTTTTTTTTTTTGAGTGGTTTTTTTTTTTTTTTTTTTTTTTTTTTTTTTTTTTTTTTTTTTTTTTTGAAAAAAAAAAAAAAAAATATTTTTTACCCCCTTTAAAAAATATTCCCAGGGGGGGGCTTCTTTTTTTTTTTTTTTTGGAAAAAAAAATACAAAAAAGGGTGGAAAAAAAAAAAAAA